AGAACCAAGATCTGTCATGTAAAGGTACAAGATCCCAATGATAAATGCAACTGTAATGCATACTTAAAAAGCACCAATAAACTGAGAAAAAACAAAAAATTTAGTCGTCACATTTACCATATATGTAGAATATAAGTACTTCTCACCAGACCCATTGTCACCTTGGTCTAAGCCACTGTCATCTTTCACCTGGATTATTGCCACAGCCTACTCTTATCTACTTGTATTTTTATTTGTACATGTCAGATCATGCCTTATATTTACAACTTTCCAATGGCTGCCCAATTCCCTTGAAATAAAATCCAAGATGCTTACAAGGTCTAGCAAGATACGGCTCTCTCTTATCTCTAACTCCTGTTCTATCAATCACCCCTTGCAAAGAACTCTATAGTAACTTCCCTGATGGATTTTGCTTTAACTTTTTCCTCTTGCCTCAAATACTCTTTTTCTCCAAGTTGTTATTTTCCCAAGTCTGGATTTTGAATCTTAGGGTTACTGTTTTTACTAAACAATCATGAGTTATTCCATCTCAGCTCTAACCCTTCTTAATGATCTGCATCTTAAACTGTCCCCACCTCCTCTCTAATACTGGGAATAGAAACTAGGACCTCATGCATGTTAAGCAAGTACTCTTAACACTAAGCTACACCCAAAGCCCTTTTGAAAAATTTGAGACAGGATCTAACTACGTTGCCCACACTGGCCTCAAATTTACAATCCTCCTGCTTCAATCTCCAGAATCGCTAGGGTTACACGCATGTGTCACCACACCTGGTTTCCACCCATCTCTTTTTTAATGACCTTTGACTCTATATCAACTAATATTCTACATTTACTTCACCTCCTCTTGCTCTGAATGGAAAATCACCAATACCAAGGATAATGACTAGAACATAGTAAGAACCCAATAAATGTGACTAAATTTAGAACAGGCTTGGATGAGGCACTGTATTTGTTAGAAAACTCACTGCCTCTTTAGGAGTGTGCAATGGTCCCATTTCTTGTTCAAGCTGTCCCTTTAAGTTAGCATAACTTGTTTTACTTAAGGACAGAGGATCGAGTGTTTACAGCCAGAGATAGCATCTATTAAAGTAATATTATTTTTGACTATCTCAAGGGCCGGGGATTTAGCTCAGTGGTTCTACTGCCTACCTCGCAACCACAAGGACTCGAGTTGGATTCCTGGTACCAAAACAACAAAAACAAAAACAAATCAACTATCTCTAAATTCACACGCCATTACTAAAAGTAGAAAGAGATGCTGAATATACACATTTTGAATAACTCTTACTATTTTGTCTAACATTACAGCCTGGGCAGATACCAGGTTTGCTTTATAGGATAATATGAAGCAATGTGACCACATGTCCTGCCTATAGAGATAAGAAATTCAGTTTTGGGGCCAGAGATTTAGCTAAGTGGTTCTGCTGCCTGTCTTGCAAGCAAGCAGTTTGATCCCTAGCATCAAAAAACAAAAACAAAAACAACATGAAAACAAAACAAAATAAATTAATTTTGTAGTCTGACCCAGGTCAATACTCATTCTACATGAGCCTAAATTAATGGCCCATTGAAGAGTCTATTTTTATCCACAGCACTTGACTGCTAGTTACAGCATTTCAAAAAATCCCTAAGAGGATTTTTACTATTAATAAGAGAACTACAACAGCATCCACAATTAAGTTTACTTTAATTATATATACAGAAATACAGAAGGTAGGCAGACCACAGTTGGTATGACTGCTCAACAAAATCACCAGGGTTGCATACTCCTTCTGTATTTCTGTCCCACCATCCACAACACCCAGAAAACACTTTTACAGTCCCTATGAGACTGCAGAACTCCAGATATCATGTCTACATTGCAGGTAGGGAAATGAAAAACAGAAAGAATGAATTTTTAGATGGCCTACTCATACAAACTCCACTTTCCTATTTTAACCTGCGAGGGAGACAGATTTTTTTTTTTACCCCAGGATTTGTTATTAAAGATGGGAAGATTGATATTCAGTAGGGACACAGTCTCTGAAACAAACTTATTTTTCATTGCAAAATAGTATGTTCATGTCAGTTTTTCTTTTAATTTTAATTCAAAATCTTGTTTTAAAAAATGACCTAATAGATTCATTCTATTTTTTAACTTCTAAGTAATCATTGTGTATAGTGGTCAGAGGTGGTAGAAAATACAAGTATCTGGACTTTGTGACAAAGTATTCACACCTTTCTTAAATTCTGTAACAGCTGTGTTTAATAATCCACTGACTAATACCACAGGGTTTTTTACACTATGAATGTCCCCTTACAGCATATTGGGTGAAATCTGAATGAAAGCATAGTGTCCCCCTTTAATCTGGGATAGGTTATGAAAGATTTCCTGATATTAATTACACTTATAAGTACCTTTCTTTCATGCACATCCTCTAAAATAACAATGAAATTAGTACCTAATATTTTGATATGTTCAAGGCACCATTCTAAGAGTTTTGAAATGTAATAACACGCAATATTTCCAAGAATCTTACAAAAAAGGTGTTGTTAGGTTTATATTACAAATGATTCAACCGAAGCAAAGGTTATTTATCACAATAAATGTCACAAAGAAAATCAATGGGCAGAGCCAAGATAATGCTGATAAAGACATTTGCTATGGCTAAAGATTTTCCTATATTTACTGTATTAACAGAATTATTTTTGTTTTAATTTGCTAAAGTTTAATATGGTTACAGCAATGACAGGTTTTTCTACATTAATATTTCCATTCCCCTATTTAAAGTTTCTGATGCTGAACTTTATGAGACAAATGTGTCCAATATTCTCATTTGTAATAATTCTTTACAGATAATGGATGACTAGAGAAAGCTCTATCAATCACAAAAAATCATATAAAAACTTGTGAATCTTTACTAAAGCCTAGTTCACATTCTTTATAGTCAAAAGATTCTTCAGTGATATGTATTTTCTGATGTTGAGTAAGTTGTGAACCACGAGTAAAGGACTTTCCACATTCCTTACACTGATATGGTTTCTCACCAGTGTGAATTCTTTGATGTCGAGAAAGATGAGAGCTCTGAGTAAAGGCCTTTCTACATTCTTTGCATTCATAGGGCTTCTCTCCAGTATGGATTCTCTGATGTAGAGTAAGTTGAGAGCCATGACTAAAGGCCTTTCCACATTCCTTGCATTCATAGGGTTTTTCTCCAGTGTGAATTCGCTGATGTTGAGTAAGCTGTGAACCACGAATAAAGGCCTTCCCACATTCCTTACACTGATATGGTTTCTCACCTGTATGAATTCTCTGGTGTTGAATAAGCAATAAGCCACGAGCAAAGGCCTTTCCACACTCATTACATATATAGGGTTTCTCACCAGTATGAAGTCTCTGATGTTGAGAAAGATGTGAACTCTGAGTAAAGGCCATTCTGCATTGTTTACATTCATAAGGTTTTTCACCAGTATGGATCCTTTGATGTTGAGTAAGCTGTGAGCCACGAATAAAAGACTTCCCACATTCCTTACATTCATAGGGTTTCTCACCAGTGTGTATTCTTTCATGTTGAGTAAGTTCTGAGCCACGACTAAAATTTTTTCCACACTCTTTACATTCATATGGTTTCTCACCAGTGTGAATCCTCTGATGTCGAGTAAGGAGCGAGCCACGATTAAAGGCCTTTCCACATTCCTTACATTGATAGGGCTTTTCACCAGTATGTATTCTCTGATGTTGAGTAAGTTGTGAGCCATGACTAAAGGTCTTTCCACATTCCTTACATTCATAAGGCTTTTCATTAGTATGAATTCTCTGGTGTTGAGTAAGTTGTGAACCACGGATAAAGGCCTTCCCACATTCTTCACACTTATAGGGTTTTTCACCAGTATGAATTCTTTGATGTTGCATTAGGAGTGAGCCCCGAATGAAGGCTTTTCCACATTCCTTACATTCATATGGCTTTTCCCCATTATGAATTTTCTGGTGTTGAGAAAGCTGTGAACCACAAATAAAAGCCTTCCCACATTCCTTACATTCATAAGGTTTCTCACCAGTATGAATTCTTCTATGCAGAATAAGTTGTGAGAGCTGAGTAAAGACCTTCCTACATTCTTTACACTCATACAGCTTCTCACCAGTATGAAGTCTCTGGTGCAGAGTAAGTTGTGAGTTCTGAGTAAAGGCCTTTCCACATTCTTTACATTCATAAGGTTTCTCACCAGTATGAACTTTTTGATGACGGGTGAGTTGTGAGCTACGAATAAAGGCTTTTCCACATTCTTCACATTTATATGGTTTTTCACCAGTATGAATTCTATGATGTAAAATAAGTTGTGAGCTTTGAGTAAAGGCCTTCCCACATTCTTTGCATGCATAGGGTTTCTCACCAGTGTGAAGTCTCTGATGAAGACTGAGCTGAGAATCACGACTAAAGGCCTTCCCACATTGCTTACATTCATAGGGTTTTTCACCTGTGTGAATACTCTGATGTTGAGTTAGGTGTGAGGCTCGACGGAAGGCTTTTCCACATTCCTTACACTTATAGGGTTTCTCCAAAGAATGACATCTTGGATGTTGAGATAAATAAGTATGGTGGTTGAAAATAGACATTTTGTCATATGTCATCATCCCTTGAACAAAATATTCTTTCTGATTTTGTTGCTTTTCCAACTTGCCTTTGAATTCCAAATAATCTCTGGAATTGGATTTATCAAGCTCACAGTTTTCAAGCCGACCATTCATTTCCCAGTGGGAGAATGTTCTTTCATTAACGTTCTTTTTTTGAGACAAGTCTTTATTGGCACATCTTGAAGGTAAGTCTGAAAAATAGGACATTATCAAAAAATTCAAGAGAAAAAGAATTGTATAGAAGAAAATATAAATAGGAAAAATACCCATAAGAAATAACAGGTACCTACCAGTATTTTTAAATATGGTTTATACCATATGGTTTGTACCATAGTAATACCTATTTTTCACTGAATATACATGTTTCATTAAAATAATACCTAACCTGTTTTCTATTCTATAATATTCTACTCTTTTCTATTTCTCTTAAAATCCACTAAACTGATTTGATGGTGCAGTAATGTTGCTGCCTTGAGGTTGAAATATTAATTTAGAATAATATCAAAAAATAATATGTAAGAAGGGCACTTGAGAGAATAATGAAAATTTACCTGAGAGGGTAAGGGAAGAGATTAAGCAAGCTTTTAAAATTACTGGTTCTCAAACTTTGGGGGGATCAAAACCAAGTGAAGAATTTAAAATTATAACTATCTAGGTATACACCAGCCAAAATGAATCTAATCTTGTGAATCATATAAAAGACCATGAAGATCTCTAGTTTTAATACTGTCTACCATCTGTCTTGGATTCAGTCAGATTGTGACTTGTTATTTCTGCTTAAAATGTTTTAATAGCTTACAAAATTAAACAAAATAAAACCCAAACTCTTTTATGAGTTTGACAAAGCTCTCCATGGCCTACCCCTATTTATCCAATTTCCCTAATAAGCCCTCTCAATGTTAATTGCTATTTGCCAAACAAACATACCACTTTCAACTTTGAAAAATTTACAAGGCCCTTTCCAACTTACAATTAGCCAGAACGTATTCCATCTTTTTAGGCATATGATCAGTGAAGAAAACTGCCAGTTTTGGACTGTTTTATATGGCTAGGAAACAAGTGAAACGGTACATTGTAAATTATCCATACTTTGGGTTGGAAATTATGAAGGCTATGACATAGAAACACTAGACCAGTCTAGACAGGGTCTGAAGCCTCAATCATCAATGAATCATCTAAAATCCAGAAATGTGAGAATTAGGGTAATTCATGATTGCTTGCCATAACAATCTTAAATCTATACTGGCAAGGTATAACATTATTCAAAACTTCAGGTTATTTTTGTATTTTTTTTCCACAATGTCTAGCAGTCACTAAAAAGGTGAGTTTGAAAAATCATGAGGCAAAAAACAAACAGATCTATAAAGGCTCAAGCTGTGTATTCACCAGAACAATTCTGTCATTCCTTAGTACCAATGTGCTGCTACTTTGTAGTCAATCCTTCTTCCCACCCTAAAAGCAGATGCCTGGCTGTGGCTTTTCCAGCAATTCCTTGTAGACAGAAACAAGAGCACAAGTGTAATAAATCTAGGATCATATATACTTCACCAAATGCCCTTACCCCTTGAATACTGCTAGCCATGTTTATCTTTAGCTCTCCGTTCTTTTCAAATGAGATACTGAGTTGCTTTTACTTATCTCTATTTCACCCTTTATTCCATCTCATGTCTTTTATTTACTTGTCTATCTAAGCCATCTCTGTGTTCATACCTTTATCATTTCCCTGGAACTGATATAAGGCTAAGCCATAAAGAAAAGTCTCTGTAAATTACCTAAAATTATGAAAGGTGTCTGGAGTGATATAGAGTCCAGCAATTTTATTGAAAAATACGGATCAAGAAAAAGAATATAAAAAGTTCTGTTGGGATTTCAAAATAGTACAGCCATGGTGAAAGACAGTTTGGTAGTTTCTTATAAACACATACTTAGATCCAGTGACCATACTTGTACATTTTACACTTATATTCAAACAAACCAAATATTAGTTTCTTTTTTCCCTTTTCTGTGATACTAGCAATTAAACTCAGTCTTGTCCATGATAGGCAAGTGCTATACCACTGAGCTATGTATCTCCAGCCCTTTTTAACTCTTTTGTATTATAACCATGATGGTGTTAATGGTACACCAGAATTTCTGAAGGATATCAATAAATGATGGGTAAAATATAACCAACATCCTTTCAAAGTATGGTCAAACTTAAAAGAAAATAAGATCCAGAGGCAGCGCAAGGAAGTGAGAATCAGAAACCAGAGAAGAAAACGCGCTCTGGTTATAGCTACCCTTGTGACACTTGCTGACTTCAACTGTTTACATCTTTATTAATAGTCTGAAAAAAATCAAGACACAAGGATTTGGACCCACAAACAGCAGGAAGTAGAAATAAACTTTTTCACAAGAGGGGAACTATGCAAGGCCTGCACTCCAGGAGATGGGCAGAAAGGGTTACACTATTAAATGTATAATCTGAAAGGAATAATCACCCTGACACAAACTGTTGCACTATGGTTGTGGAGGTCAACAGTTTCCTAACACATGAAAAATAACACTCTGAAGCTTTCACACCTAAGCCATCAAAAGGAGGGGCTTGGGATTCTCCTGTGCTACAGCACAGGCACAAAAAGAAACCCTTGTCAAACTTCTGTCTCATTAAAAAATGCATATCCCCAGGTAGAGACTGAAGCTGTTAATGATATACATGCTCTGTGAAGCAGCACTACAAGCTACTGAGCAGGCATCACCCTCCCCGCTCTTCTACATGCAGTAATGAAGTAAGCTGTGCCTCTGGCTGAAGGCAGGAACTTGCTTTCTAATTCTTTCATGTAACTTTTTCTTTAAGCACAAGAATAAAGCTTTTACTCTTGCATTTAAGTGTCTCTGGCTAATTCTTCTAGAGAAGGTCACAAGGACTATGGAGAGGTTTGTAATAAAAAGGGAGAACTCCTCTGAACACAAACAAAAGTAATGAGATGTCTCAATCTTACTCATTTGAAATCTCACTTTGAGATGCGGAGCCAATGGATGACTGTAAAAAACAATATGGCAAGATATGTCTTTTGTTTAAAGATGAATTGTTCTAGTTGCTTTGCCTAAAGCTATAAAATAATAGAATGTACACAAGCTTCATGGATGGAAGTTAGGAAGCTGTAGTAATCCACAAGAAATGGAATGGTGAGGTGGAAGGTGAGAAAGCACTGGGTTCTGGATATATTTTGAATGTATACTAAAGAGTTAATGATGCAATGGGCATATAATATGAAACAGGGAAAATGAGGATAGTGTTTTGCCTGAACTTCTGGAACAACAGAAATATTATTTACTAATTCTTTGGTAAGAACTGGTTTAGAAGAGAATATCAAGAATTTACTTTTGAACTTTAGGATATAACAATAAAGATTTTGATGGAAACAAAGTCTTTGTAGACAGGGAGTGGTGGAGGGGTTGAAGGGAACGCAGGGGGATGGGGAAAAAATAAGAATCAAGATGGATTATGCAAAGGTACAAATTTCCAATGATGAATGTCATTATATTGCATACCTTAAATATACCAATAAAGTTAATTTTAAAAAAGATTTTGAATACAAGTATATTTATATAGAAACACACCCAAATGTGTAGTTCTGGGACGATATCTTTTTTTGTTTGTTTGTTTTTTGGTACCAGGGATCGAACTCAGGACCTTGCGCTTGCGAGGCAGGCGGCAGAACCACTGAGCTAAATTTCCAGCCCAAGATATCTTGATTAGAGGTATAAGCTTGGGAGTCATTACCAAATAGTTGATAAAGTTAATAGATTTGATGAGATTGCTCACAGAGTGTCTTTGGATATAGAAGAGAAGGGAAAGAAAGGAAGGGGAAGTTTTACAGTCAAGTTCTGGAAAAAAGAGCTGTATGAAAATTTCATTTCATGAAGAAAAAGGATTTGACAAAAGATATAGTTTCATAATAAAATTCACCAAATTAGGTGTACAAAGAATGTATCGAAATAATAAAGTCTCCATATGAGAAGACCATGATAATATAAAACTCAATAGTGAAAAGTTAAAGGACTTTCCTCTAAGATCTGGAATAAGACAAGGATGCCCACTCTTGTTACTTCTAGTCAACATATTACTGGAAGTCCTTGTCAGAGCACGTAGGCAAAAAATAGAAATAAAAAAATATCCAAACTGCAAAGGAAGAAGTGAAATAATCACCATTTGCTTAGAAGATATTACATATAAAAAATAAGATTCTACCAAAATGAACAAATACAAAAAGTTGCAGGATAGGAAATCAGCTCATAAAAATGAGTAGTTTGTATACACTAACAACAAACTATTTGAAAAAGAAATCAAAAGTTCCCTAATATATACAATCAAAAAATGCATGAAAATAGAAGTGAGACTATTATTAGACCAGAGGAAGGGAATGGGGGTTGGGTTAAGGCAGGGAAATGGGGGAATGGATATAATAAAAATGTTACATGCGTTTATGAAAATACTGCATTGACATCCCAATAATCCATAAAATAGGCACTAATAAAATATGTTTTAAAAAGACATGCATTCTGCCAACTGCTTTGCAAGTGCAAGGTCCTGAGTTCAATCCCTGGTACCAAAAAACAAACAAACAAAAAAGACATGCAGATGAATGCTCTTAATTTTGTCTCTGTGACATAGCGTTGGGGTAATGAAGGATTTTCATTGTTATTCTATACACTGTATATTGTTATGGCTTGTATCTAGATGTCCCCCCAAAACTTCATGCACCCACTGGAGGGGCTTTTCAGAGGTGGCTTAATCTAGGGTGTGTGAATATGGATTAGGGGTATGTGATAAATAAATAAGTCCACCAGTTTAGCACACTTCTGGGTATGGATAATGGGAAGGCCCACTCGTGGGTGTGGATGGCACCAACCAGTAGTGTTTTAGCTTGGGTGGGATAAAGAGAGAAAGGCAGGCTTGTTGCTGCTGCTGCTTTACTGTTTTATGCCTGACTGTTTCTCCTCTGCTATGCCCCTCTGCCACACTACCCTGCCTTGGAGCCAGCTGACTGTGGACTGAAACCTCTACAAATTGTGAGCCAAAATAAACCTTTCCTTCTTTAATTTGTGGGTATTGGGTATTTTGCCCTAGCAACAAGAAAGTAACTGAGCTAGATCTGTATATGTATGTACAGGTGCATGCATGTATGTATGTATGCATGCATGCATG